CTGTGTGTCTCACTGATGTGTCCTCTCCCTTTTCCTCTCCCTAATTCTGGCCAAGGGATACCTTTATAAACCAGCGTGTGCCGTGGTGTTCGTGCTGCCAGGGCTGTGTGTAACAAGGTTGGGATTCTGCTTTTGTACTGAAATATTCATGTTGTGTGTTCCACATACTTCCTGCTTTTGTTTAGCCAACAAGGACTTCGGGTAGGTTTTCTTCTCTCCACGTTATAATCCATGTAAGAATACTCTTGCCCTCTGTCTCCTGCCTGGATTTGAAGAGGCATCTCCTGCCCAGAGCTCTCCTGCCTGGATTTTGGGCCAGGTTTTGTTCTCTCCTGTCTAGATTGCCTAAGCAAGGGGGGAGAATGGTGTGCTAGTTGGTGTTTGTGGAAAGGACTGGAAGCATCTGGTCTCACCCTAATTCAGGTAGTGCTGGACTTGTGCTCTCCAGGAGTGTTTTGTAATTACAAAGTCTGATCCATTTGCTGCTGAGATTCATGAAATATGTCCTATTAACAGAGTGTATTTTAAGCCGTTTCACACCTCTGCCACTCCAGCAAATGATGCTGAATAATGCTGGGGAGAAGGAGCTGTGATAATTTAATGAAGTGTCCACAGATGGCTGGACTTATTAATTTTTTAACAGGGTTGGGGTGAGAAGCTGATGCACTAACAAAATATGCGGCATCTTTGTGATCCGCCGCGTTGCTGAGGGATAACAGATGTTGGAGCCATCCTAACAATAGGGAATCGTGTTTCTGTTCTCTTGTGTGCCTGAAATCTTCACACTTCCCCAGAGGCTGTTTGGATAAAGGACTAATAGCTCTGGATTTGTCATGAGCTCAAATTTGCTTAGGCAGACAGGAATGGGGAGAAATTAAAGTGTCTTAAAATTGGGAGCAGTTTGTGGGATCACTGACAGACCAGTTTAACCTGGAGGGTTGGGGTGGGAGCTGGAGGGTGGGAGTGCTGGGAGATGTGCTGCTGGAGTTAGTTCAGACTTGGGTGAATGATGAGAAAAGTGTGAGAGTGATGTTGGACATCAGAGGATTTTCACAGCTGGGGTACAGGAGGAAAGGAGTTTGGAAAACCTGTCGGCTGCTCCCGTGCTTTGCTTTTTCCATATTGCATTAGAAATAACCAGGGGAGTGACAGGGAAAACATTTGTTGAGCACATCGAGATGGCACAAAAAAGGCCTGAAACCAGCCTTGGGAAGCAGTTAATTGCACAAACATGTAATGGGTGTGTGTTTAGAGCTGTTTAATGCTTATACAAAGTGTTCTCTTAAATTCCAGTCTATGCAGGAGCAGTAGAAGAGACTCACATGACGAAAAGCCTTGTGACCACGTAGGAAAGGTCCACAGAGAGGAGGGGATTCCTCTGCAGCTTTTTGTTCCTTAAGGACGGGGAGCCCGTGCTCGTTTTCTTATTTCTCTTTAGCAGTGTTGGTTTGGCAGGACTGATCCCAAAAGGTTGGTAGGATTCTCAAGGGGGTTAGAGGTGTGTGTGGCAGCAGCATCCATGTTAAATCAAATGAAGCGTTTCTAGTGGCTGCTGATGGGATTTAGAGAGAAGGCAGGACTCTGAACTTGGTTACAGCACTCGTGTGAGTTATTTAGTAGTTGTTGATTATGGAAGGTTTTCTTCTTTCAGTCTCCTTGGAAGTGATTGGCACTGGCCACAGTCACAGAGAGGCTGCTGGGCTGGATTGGCATCAGGGCAGTGAATTCCTCCACTTGTGCAAACTGCAGGAGATGAAATACTGGCTCCATTGACGGCAGCAGACGACAGCCAGAATTTTAACCATCTGTGTTTTCCAGGAGCATGGGAATTATTGCTCTTCTAGGCACATCTTTTTCAGAAATGGAGACAATGGGCCACAAATCTCAGTAAGGCTTAGACTGGGAATGCTGATTGAATGCACCACATTTGCATTAATAGATTGTTCATTCACATTCCTGCCATAGCTCTGGGCTTTGATGAGAGGAGGGGAGAGACAAAAGGAAAGGAGAAAATAGGGACAGAGTTGGCTTTCCCCCCTCCCTCCCATTTGCATTGTCCTGGCAGAAAGTGTGGAGTCTGTGATGCATCTCATTCCCTTGTATGCTGGGAGAGCCACACTGTTGCTTACGTGTTCTGTCTGTGTTTAGAGAACATTCCAAAAGGAAAATCATCCCTCCTCAATAGAGTTTATTAACCTGTGTTCTGCTAGGTCAGTAGTATTTTCCTTTGGTGTCCTGAAATCGATACATAATGTATGTGAGCTGACACAGAATGATTAACGTGTGTACAAACACCAAAAATTGTCTTTAATATCAGAACCCCAAAGTGTCATTTATCATTGCATTCATTTGCCAAAAGATGGGATGGTGCCTTCAACTGATTGCCCTGCAATGTGTGGGTGAGGAGTGGGGGCTGCTCCCTCATTAGGAGTGTGCCTTCCATCCCTGGAAATGTCCAAGGCCAGTTGGATGGATTGCGGATCAACCTGGGATAGTGGAAGGTGTCCCTGTCCATGGCAAGGGGTGGGACTGGATGAGCTTTAAGGTCCCTCCCAACCCAAACCATTCTGGGATTCTGTCATTACATCTTCTTGCTTAATCTTGTTGGTTGAAGTGTTTGGGAAATACAAACTATTGAGAAAAAAGGCACCAACTTTTTAAAAAGTTATTTTTTACAATAGTTTTGAATGTGTTTCTAGTGTAAATCGAAAGACTGAATTGGCTTACGTGGTAATGCAGTCAAAAAAGATTATAGGAAGTTATGGAAATTCAGACTTAGAAGCTGTTAATTGATATTTGAAGAGGAAAAGAGCAGCTCTGTAATGGCAAGGTCCTGGACTGGGAGAGGGAAGAGTGTTTTCTGGTTGTGTTCTGCTGCAGGAGGTGTGCCTGCACTCTGGCACACGCTCTGGGACCTGCTCCTGTATTTATAAACAGGTCTCTGAATTAATAGTAATTAAGGCCTGTATTTGGAGTGCCTTTTGTAATCCATCATTATTGTTTTGTGGTTGTGTGTTGGCTAAAGCAAAGGCTCCTCCTCCACAGTGGAGGCTTTTAAGCAGTGCAAATTGCCAATAATTGTAGAATAAGAGAAAATTACTCTTTAGGACAAAATTATAGCCTAGGTTAAAATGTATATTTTAAAAACACACAGGACTATGATGAAATAAAGGTTTTAGTGGCGTTTAGGATGACCTGGAAAATGAACTGTAATTTCATTGCTAGTGAGTAATGAAACCATCTTAAATACAGCTTATTCAGCCTCAATGGAGCACCTGCACACAACAGAATGCACAAAGCCTGTCTTGTCCAGGAAGTGAATAGTACTTGTGAGGGGGTTAAATTAAGGCATATTTGAGCTTGATGTTAAAAAATTGCAGGGCTTTAATCCTTCAGGAACATCCTCACTTGTGCTTTCAGTTGCCAGTGAGGTCATTGTACAAGTGGTGGTTTGTGGAGCAAAGAAGGGAGGTGAAAACAGAGCTCAGGGGCTCCCCTGGCAAAAGGAGGAGATCCAGGACCCCCTTCCAGGCTGGGCAAGGAACTGCCTTAATATGCAGGTCTCTTAATAAAGGAGAATGTTGAGATAGATAAGACTTGGAGGTAATTATGACATTTAATGGGTTCTATCAAAAAGGAGATTTCCTGTAAGGAAAGATGCCTCAGAGACCAGGGTTTAGAAGACCCTGCTTAACGGCCTGATCAGCCATGGAGCTGTAAAACAACGTATTTACCTGCAAAATGAGCAAGTGTGGCACATGCAGGAGACACTGGTACTGTTGCTGTGGCCTCAAGGGTCTCACAGGAGGAGTTAAATAATGCTCCAGGGAGTAATATTTCTGTGGGAGTTTGTTCTCAGGATGTCGTTCTGCCAGTGGGGCATGGTGGGACAGGAGGGGGCATGGAAGCAAAAGAGGTTCTGACTGGATTTAGGAGGAAGTTCTGCACTGTGAGGGCACTCATGTGGTAGAACAGGTTGTCCAAGAGCTGTGCAGTCTCCATCCATGGGGATATTTGGGGTCTGACTGGACAACTCCCTGAGTAACCCTCTGACCTTGTAGCTGACTCCGCTCTGGCTGGGCCCCTTCCTGCCCAGGTTATCCTGCCATTCTGTGCCTTTAAAGGTGCACAGGATGTTGGGGAATGAGGGCAAGGAACTGAAGATTGTAGCTTCATTAAGCAGGAGGAAAGTTGAAAGAAAGAAGTTGTGATTTTTATGCCTATGAATACCTTAGAGGGAGGAAGTAATGGATAAATATCAAAGATGCAAAATAATTAATACCAAAACAAGGTCAAGATCAAAGGCCCAGAAGTTGGTTTGAAATACAGTGGGAGGGGAAACTAGAAACAGAAAGTTTTTCAGAGGAATGAAGCTGTGGAAGGAGCCTCCAGGTATTATTCTGAGAGGGGAGAAAGTTTGTAACAGTTGGAGATGAGCCTGTGCAGGTAAAGAAGTTTTTCATTGAAGTGAGAAAAGCCTGACCATGTGACATCAGATGCTGCTTCTCCAAAGATTTCTGCAGAAACTGGAGAGCAAAGATCGGATGCTTAAAAAGAAATCACAGAAACCCTGAGGGATTTTTGGAAAGCAAATAAGGATCCAAGCTGGAAATTACAGAAAGTACCGTTTAACTTAAGAAGTACATGTGTTAGATACTTTATTGGGCAGTCAAAGGTAGTGAATGTGGACAGGGAGGACTAGAGGAGATGGAGTTTTGGCACCAGGGTGTCACTGATAAGCAGCACATGGTGACAGATTGTAGTAGGAAGCTCAAGAATTGGAGAGAGGATGGAAAATCCATCCCTTTTCTGCCCCATTGCACTGAAGAGCCACTCAGTGTTTTCTCTCCATGGGTGTTTTGCATATGGGTGTTTTGCATCCTTCAACATCAAGTTGAAGTCTCTGATCCGAGTGGTTGTTTGATAACCCTTTTTGAAGGAAGAAGGAATCACAAAGCACCGAATGCCTCTGATTTGTTCCTCTTTTCATTCCTGTGCAGGCCTGCCCAGGTTCACGAGCCAGCCGGAGCCGACGGCGGTGCCCCGGGGCGGCAGTGCCGTGCTGAGCTGCGACGCCAACGCCGACCTGGCCCCGTTCGTGCGGTGGGAGCAGGACCGGCAGCCGGTGCCGCTGGACGAGCGGGTGCTGCAGTTGCCCAGCGGGGCCCTGGTGATCAGCAACGCCTCCGACAGCGACCGGGGGCTGTACCGGTGCCTCCTCGAGGGCTCTGCCGGCCCCAAGTACAGCGACGAGGCCGAGCTCACAGTCCTGCCAGGTACCCACGGGCTTGCTGGGACACGGGGCTCCTTCTGCCTCTGCGGGGTCTGAGCTCTCTGCAGTGGCTGGGGAAGGGCTGGAGACTCTCCTGTGCCTTCTTGCCACACTGAATGGTTCAGCTTTTAAGGGATTTTAGGGAAAGATTGTTTTCTAAAGTCCCTGTTTTCAGGAGTCCCACACTTACTTCCACTGTGACGTGATGCAAAGAGGGAATCTGCTGTTTCTTTGAGTATAAACATGTGGGGATTTCTGAGTTTCTCAGGTTGAATCCGGTGTTTCAACTCCTGCTGAATTTTCCCAAAGAAATTGGTGCTTAGTCCCTCACTCTCAGGATGCTTCAGCTGAGGGGCTTTCAATTGTCCCTGTATTCAGGAAATTGTGATTGTCTTAACAGTGGGCCCTTCTGAATTCTACAACTCCCCAAAGGAAGATGACTTTATTTTGGAAGGTTTAGCAATGCCTGTTGTGCTGAAATGTTGAGATATTTTTATAAGAACAGAAGTCCAGCGCTGATGTCAAGTGTTGGTACACTGAGTTTGTTCTCTTCCCAGTGACTGTTGCACAGAGCTGTGTCACCAGCTGCTCCAACACAAAGGTTTGAAAAGTCACCACGAGTAGGGCAGGAATGTGCATTGTGCATTCCCAAACTGGGGATGTAGAGGCTGTGTTTTGTATGGGGTTTCCTAATTGTTTCCAGAGCTGTCTCCTCTGAATTAATCTTCCTGTTGGAATTCTGATTCAGTTGTTCCTGCCTGGAGAACTGCTGGAGGAATTGCTGAATTTCCATCCTGGAGGCCTCCAGGGTTAGGCTGGACAATGTCATGGTTGGCCTGACCTGGTGTGGGCAGCAGGTGGTGGCACCTTCAGGGATCCCTTCCAATGAACAGTTCTGTTGCTTGTGACTGTGGCACTTTTCTACCTAAAAGGCTGAAATTTCTGTAGAATACCCCAGTTTTCCAATTGCAGCTCTCTTTTGAAATCGGGGTGTTCGCCAGGTTTGGAACTGAATCATGGTTGAAGTAGGAGTTTGAGGCCTTTCCAAAGCAAAGCCCTTTCTCCTTCAACTAAGGATACAGGTTTTGAAGAACAGCACTTTGGGAAAAGGTACTTAATTGAATTATTGTAGTTTGGATTGCCTTTGTGTTTCTGCAGTCCTTCAAATGCTTAAGACTTCTCTGATTTTTGGCAATTGGAGATTACTTGATAAACTTCCATATTGCATTGATCTTTTGGATTCTTTTGGCTCTAGATATGGTTTACTTGCTTTTTTAATGCTTTGCTGAAGATGATTAAATAGAATTCTGTTAGGGAATACAAATGATGCTGTTTCTTTGCTTGGTCATGAATCTGAAAGTATCAATAGTGAAGTTTTGTGAAATCCCTCCCAGCAGGCTTTTTTTAAAAAGTGGGATTAAGCTGTTGAAGGGAAAGCTCCCTTAATCTTGATTGGCCCCATAATTGATTGTTTGGTCTGAGATGTATTTGAAAGAAGGATTTGAATTAATCTGTTCTTTATTCAGTTTATTCCCTTTTTAAATTGTTATCTGATATGTGCCTGACAGTGACCCCACTGCTCTGCTTCCCAGTCTTTGAAATACACACAACACACACTTGGATTTACATCCATGGACGATGTTCTGCTTCTTAAATGTTCTACTTTTTCTTATACCAGGCCGTCACTGAGCAGGAGGGTACATTTCTGAGCTATACTGGTTAATAGCAGGTACTTTCAAACATAGGAATACAAGGGGAAAGAAAACCCACTTGATTTTTGGATGCAGTTTGCACTCACCTGGGAGCTGAAGTCCGTTCTGGGAGCCTGGAGCAATGATGGGCTGTGTCTGTGGTGAACGGTCCCAGCTCCTCTCCTCCTGTAAGGTTTGGTGTGTCCCTGTTCCTGGAGCAGGCAGAGCAGTTCCTGCTCACAGGGAACGTGGGCAGAGCCGTGGGATGGTTCCTGTGTGGGCCCCAAACAGATGGTGAGATCCAGGACTGCTCAAAGCTTGTCTGCCCCTGCCTTGGATGGCTCTGAGACGGGATTTCCACCCGTCCTGTTCCTCAGATCCCTGGCAGCCTCCTCAGGCTGTACCTTGGAGCACGTGTGTGCCCTGAGCTCGGGGCTGTGAACGTTCCTGTGCTATTTTTAGTATTTTGAGCTGAAGAACAGCAAAACAACAACTCTCAGAAATGCCTGCGAGTATCACATCGGGCCCGAGTGAGACACAGCCACGTCTGAGTGTGATGAGACACAGAAGGTGCTTCAGAGAGCAGAAGCAGAGGAGGTGCAGAAGAGTCTGCCCTATTTAGGTGGCCAAAAATAATTTGAGGGCTTGTCTAGTTCTGGAGCTTTGCTGTCATCACACCTTCAAACACACATCTGAGTACTGAGAGTGCAGCAGTTAGTGCAGCGCGAGCAGTGGGAGTAACTAACTCAGCCCAAAGCTGTACCTCGTGGGTACAACTCGTTTGCTCTGGTTCAGGGTAGACACAGAGGGTACAAACTGTAGTAACACACTGAGGAAATGTGCACTTGGCTTGTGCTTGTTCTTAAGGTGGAGGGAAAAAAGAAACAAATCCCTCTCCATCCGAATTCAATGCAAAACTAATTCAGAGGATTCCCGTTTTCATAAGGATGGAAAACGGGTGGGATGTAAAGCTTGTGGTACTTGTGCGCACATTAGCTGGTTGTTTTATTCCACTTAGGATGACTTTCTGCTGCAGTAATTTCATTTTCCAGCATGTAAAAGCACTTCCTCAGTAGCTCCCCGATGGAGCCAGGGGATCGCCCAAGGCTGGCTGGACAAACCCAGACCTGAACCTTTCTTCAAACCCCTTTCTTCAATAAATCTCTGCCCACTGGTGCAAGTTCCAGTTTCAGGGCTGTAGCTTTGAGCTGAAACAGTTTCCCAGGGAGCTGGAAGAGTGAGAATCCCAAAGGTGGGGATGTCTGGAAGAAATGGTAACAAGGCTGGGAGAGGCTCCAGCAGAGACTGTGGGTGGGGTGGTGATGGGATCCCGGGGAGATGCAGGAAAGGAATGAGAGGTTTCATTTGTGGTTTTCTTTGGCTCGTTGGGTTTTGGTGTGGGCTTTTATTGGTGTTCTGTCGTGTCCAACACCTTTGCAGAGCCCGAGGAGCCGCAGCCCCTGACGTTCCTGAGGCAGCCGTCGACCCTGTCCAGGCTGAGCGGGCAGAGCGCCCTGTTCCCCTGCGTCGCCACGGGATTCCCAACCCCCTCCATCAGGTGGACAAGAAATGAGGAAGAGCTCCTCACAGAAGGGTGAGTGGTGGCTGACATCCTTACCTTTATCTCACAGCAGGAATAGGGGTTTGGATTAGTGCCCACCTTCCTTCGTACCGAATTTTAACCCAGAGGGGAAGAAGCCGGTTCCCAAGTGCTGGAGGGCTCCGATGGCAGTGCTGGGACAAGGGATGTAGTTCAGGAGATTTGTGGAACAGTCTCACAGTACTTTTTTTTTTTGCAGCCATCTGAAACCAAGAAATCTTACTTAAAGCAGGAAGGTTATTAAGAATGTATTACCTTTAGATTGCCACTGGAATAAAAGAAGCAATTAAGGGAATAAGGACTCTGCAGGAAAACAAAGACAACTCTGTGTTGGTGTATTATGTGTGTGAAGCCCTGCACTGACTTTCTGCAATGAAAATGTCCATTATGTGTCAAAATGTTCCACAGGAGTTTAAGAATAAGTGTTTAAAGCACAATTACATGATTTCTCATGAAAATAGAATATTAAAATGTTAGGCATGATTAAAAAAACAGTGTGGACTTTCAGAAATGCATCCAGTGAAAACACATTGTCATTGCTGGTGTATTCACTCAAAATAATGCGGTGGAAAATCTATATGAAAAAAGCAGAACAAATCTTATCAAGACCATTTTTGTGCCTCTAATGAACGTAGTTACCAGAACCAGGAGATTACAACCAGGCACTTGAATGTTCTCCGTGTCCCCCAAAGCCAGCGGGGAGATTAACGGAGCCCCAGGTTAATCATGGAACAAGGAGAGGGAAATTGTGGCGTGGCTGCCGCAGAAAGCGGCCAGAGCAGGGCACGAGTCTCTGCAGCAGCAGTGATATAATATATCTCTTTTTTTGGCAACTCTTAAATTAAAAAGGTCCCGGGGCTCGTAATTTGAGCTGTCGTGGCTGGGGGGAGCGGGCGGCCCTGGGCTGACGAACAGCTCGGTGCCCTGAGAGCTGGTGCCGTGTCAGGCTGATGGCCCAGGATTTAGAGCCTTTCTCGTCATAAATGTAAGAAATCACTCGCCTTTGGAGGCTGCTGCAGGCTCCTCAGAGCTGCACAGCCCCGTGGGATGAAATGTCAGGGTAAACGTGCCTGGTAAGAGCTTAATTTGTTTTTCTTGTGTGTAAAGTGGTGTCGTGTCACACCTTTATGAATTTTTGCTGCCCCCCACCCCATCCTGCTCTGGGTTATGGCACGTTCAGTGCACAGGGAGGTTAAAGCTCACCTACCAGAGAGCTCTCCTTTTATTTTCTCCTGGGTTTTGGAAATACAGAGCCCAGATTTTCCAACCCTCACCTGAGTACAGTGCTGGAATTCCCTTAAGAGCTCTTCTGTGAGGTTGCCCATGGTGACTCCTGAGGGCTGCACAGGGATTTTCAATTCTCAAAATTCAGAGTGGGAAATTGTTTTGGAGGGCTGAGGCATAACATGACTAAATATACTTGATCTTTATATGCACACAATTTGAACCAGGTCTGACCTGATTTTCCAGAATATTAAGTGTTAGTTTTTTAGTATTATGGCCCTTTGTTACAAGAACAGGTTCCAGTTGACTTTTTAATTCTTTTTTCTTCTTGCAACACTAAGCTTTTTTTTTTTTTTGTCAGTGAAATGTGTGCTCACCATAGACTTTACTTTTAAAGGGTAAAGGAGGGAATTTGATCTTTTTCCCCTCTGTAGGAATAAGATTCCTTCATTGTTCCCTAAGTGTGCCAAAGCTCCTAAGTCTGACACTGGTGACTGTGGCTTAACAGGAAGAGATTCAACCAGCAGAAAACAAAGAGTTCTTAAACTCCATTTACCCCAACAGCCATTGTATTATTTGTTTGAATAGAATAACTGGAAAATCTCCAGAAATTAAGATTCTTTGTTGGAGTAAAGCCTGCAGTTACTGCTGCTAAATAGCTACCTTAGCTTGTTATGCATGGTCTGTTAATGTAATTACAAATTAAATCACATTTAATTTGTACTGAAATCCTCTTTTGTGATAAAAGTACGACTTTTCTTAGCACGGCTTTTCTGTAGCCAAAGTAAAAACTGAACCTTTTTATCTGGGCAGGTTTTTCTGTCTGGGAAAAGCTCTGAAATGATGGGTTTTGTTTAGACACAGACCAGACATTAACATACATATATGTAGGTATATACATACATATTGACACATGTCTCTGTGTAGGAAACAAAACTTGGATGTTTTGGGCAGGTATGTCCCTAATTTTGACCCCTCGTGAAATGATTTAACACACAACCTTATTTTGACTTTTGTCCTAACTGTGGTAATTAATCTAAAGGAAAATTAAATGTTTACCTTTCAGGCTGCATTGCTAAGGAGAATATGGGTAGGAGCTTGCATTTCTGGGAAAAACAGATTATTTTTAAGGGTTGGGAGTGGTGGGGCTTTGGAATTAACTACGTGTTATAATACCTGAAAAGAAGGGAAGGTGATTAAATGTGATAGATTATTTGTTGAAGACTGCAATAAGATTTATGTTAATGGATAAATGTGAGTAAACTTGAATGATGACAGTCTTGGCAGTTGTTCTGACAGCCAGCCTGTAATGCAATATATTGTGAAATTAGTTTGCTGTGATAAAATATTTCCCAAATTAATTAGAGTGGAAGAGAAGGAAGCTTTGAGTGCTGGGTGAGAAACTGAAGTGAACACAGTGCTCAGAGTTCCCTTTGTAGTAAAGCTCTTAGAACTTCAAGGAGTCCATTCAGAACTTGCTGACTTGAAGATTTTAAAGAAATATAATTGCTGGACCACTGACTTTTTGGCTCTTCGTAAAGAAGTCCATCAAAGAGTATGAATGACCTGAGTTTCACCTGGGACCTGGGGAAGTTCTGGTTCCTCAGAGCTGAAGAGCAAGGGAGTGTTGGGAGGAAGGGTCTCAGTGCTCCCCCCAGCCCTGTGCCCTGCTCAAGGGGTTGCTGTTTTGGGCTACTCCTCTGAGACCTTCCTTGCTGTGTGCACAATTCCAGAGAGAAAATAGCACAGGGTGGAAAATCAGACCCAATAACAGGCACTGGGAAGGTGCTGGACTTGTGCTGACAGCCTTCCACGGAACTGGCTCACCAGTCCAGCTGGTAACCTTGATAGATTGGAATTTTCTCAAAACTCCATTGATTGTAAGGAAAGGAAAAGGCCAAACCCTGTTCCAGGTTGAGATTTAGCCCCAAATTCGAGCTTTAGAATCCAAAGGAAGCCCCTGGACTCGTGTCTAACCCCTGGCAGGGAGTGCTGGGCTCGTGGGTCTGTAATGCTGGTACCTCAGTGGAGCCCTCCCCGTTATCCATGTGGTTCAGCAGTGGGAATATCCATCCTGCTTTTCCAGCTGGATTTCCTCCATAAACTCGGAATGAGCAATATCTCTGCCAGGGATGTAGAGAATGCTGAGTGAGGTGGAAGGAAGGGATAGGGACATCTCTGTTTCTTGCCAAAATAGGAATTCATGTAAATATTGGAATAAATCTTAGGTCCTTTATGCAGAACTTCCTGAAGTGAGATCTGCTGTAGTGTCAGTATTATCTGACACACAAGGCTGGGATGGAAATGGTCTCTACTGGTTAAAGTTTTTCAGACTTGAGCCAACTTTGAGCCTTCCTTAAAAATTTTAGAAAAGCCCTTTCATAAAATTTAAATTTTGTTTAAATATCTGGTCTGGGCAAGGATCCTGCTGTGGGAGGGTCTGTTCTTCAGCAAAGGTAGAGTCACTTCGTGCTTTTGACAATTCTGAACTTGGAAAGTGAAGTTTCAGGTGGCTGCCGGGGGGGGGTTCAGAGTTTGGGACACAGGCAAGAGTCTGAAAGATTTGGAAAAGGATCTACTTTGAAAACTTGCCTATGTGTGGATCAGGATGTGCTCCAACATCTCTGTGGTGTACCTTGATTTGTACTGGGACACTTCTGTGGGGGGAAAGTACAAATGCAGATGCCACAAATTCTTTAAAAAGCCGCAGCAGGTGAGATGGTGAACCCAAAATTAAACCATTGGAAGGGCTCGAGCTGTAACACTTTAACAAGGCTGTTGAAGTGGAGCAAACTCTGCAGTGGGTTGGGGCTCTTCAGTTCAGCAAAACTTCATGTCATTGAAAAAACCCTGCAGAAAATGGGGTTGTGCAGGTGATAATTCCCCACAGCGAGGAGGTGGCACAGCTGAGGTCTCGTGTGCCACGTTCATTTTATGCTGCTGCCGCCTCTACTTGTGTGATCACATCCATATTCCAGGGTTTTTTTTTCCTCAGTGCTTCCCAGGAATGTGTGATATTTTAATTATTACACAATTACCGTTTGCAGGGCTCTCAGAGTGATTGGGACGAAGTGAATTACACTTGCCCAGCTCAGGAAAGGTTAAACATAGCAGAGTAATTATGGAGATTTTTCTGGTAGTAGATTCCACAAAATAATCTAATTTACTGTCTAATTTTATCTGCTGTACTTTACCAAGACAGCAAATAGATTATAAGATGTTTTGGGAATAGTAATTTAAAAGAGGGGGGGGGAAAGCCCAAACCTGAGGGTATAACTGGCAGTTTGACTACAGTAAATTAATAAAGGCTCACTGTATTTTGTGATAATGAAACACAAAAAGCCTGTGAGTGAGGCATCCAGAGCAGCTCAGTAATTGTGTATTAGGGGTATGTGAGTGAGGGATGTATGGAATGCATGTGAAAGGCTGGAATTTGATTTTCCTCTTCCCTGACATCTGAATGATCAATCTTTGTTGTTTTTAATGACACTTCAAATTATGTTATCACTTTTATATTAGGCTGATTCTTTGTCTCCAGTGCCTGAAATCTGATTTCTTCACTCTTTTGTGGAAATGCTTCATTGTCCTTACAAAATTAAGATGTTTTTACTTTATTGCAAAGGCAGTTTTCATTTAAGCCCAGGATTTTTCCACAGCTAATGCACACACAGGGAATCACCGAGGAGTTTGTAATGGATCACCATTGAATTTGTAATGGATCACGTGTTGGTAGATTGGGCTCAACTCTGGGTTTTCTTGAGGAAAATAATCCCAGAGAATATAAACATGGCACAGCATAGTGATGGCTGAGCACTGTATAACCCTGTTCCTTGCCAAAAGGAGAGTCCATGGAAACACCACCGGGTCACAAGTGGTTTGTGAGATCCCCTCTGACAAACTTTTGTTGCCTAAGTGGCAACACCACTAATTTTTAATAGTTACAGCAATGTCTTAACTGCTGGTTCATAACCACAGTAGTCTGGTGCCTCACCATGGAGATGTTACTTTTCCAGAGGCTGGCAGTGGGAGAAGGAGCAGCCTAAGGCCCAGGTAGCTTTGGGATGGGTGACAGTGGTGGATATCCCGAAAAAGGCACTGATATCCTCAGAATCCTGTTATCCATGAGGTTATTCCAATAGCCTTTTACCATTCCTTTGGGACTTGACAGGCTCAGCTGCCTCCCTGCCTGTGTCCTGGCTGTCCCTGGCACATCCAGCACATGTCCCTGTTGGCTTCAGTTCTCCCAGGTTTCATCCCAGCCCTCAGCACCTTCTTTGCTACTCACATTAATTCGCCAAAACGGACGAACAAATAATCAAAGCAGGTGTTTTCCACGATAAAAGAAGGTAGAAAACTTCCTGTGGGGATGTGTCAAGGCCCAGGCTTGTCTCACTCCTGTGTTTTTCTTTAGGCCTGGTTTTAGTGCAGCCTCACCATGTCTGTTCCCACACACAGAAGCCTCAGTGACATTCTCAGCATCTGGGAAGCTCTTCATACGTTTTTTAAACTCATATCTTCACTCAAATTCCCTGCATTTCTTCCAAACCAACCCTTTTGTGGTCCTTCTGTTACTCATGGGAACGGGATGGCTTTCCTTATGGAATACCTGAATAGGGACATCTCTGGATGCTTTTAAGACTGGTTCCTGTCACTTAATTCCAGTAATGGTTTTGTTTGCTCTGCTTTTAAATGCATTGAATCAGGCATTTGATCAGCAGTTATGGAAGTATCATAAATCAATATTTATGTGGTAATTAGTGAGATGAGCCAAAAAATCTTTGTGTCCCAACAATTTCCTTTTCCAAGCAGGTGAGGATTGGTCCTACCAACATAATTCTAGGAATTTCAATGAGGTTGGTTTTTGCACGTTGGCCACTCTCTGTGGGGACCGAAATTAATTGTGGTAATGTATTTTTAGTTCCTATTTTGGCAGAATTCAATCCCTTCCTGCCCACAAGCTGTGGCTCAAGGATGCCAGGCAGGAGGCCCCAAGTAGGCTCTTCCAACTGGAATTAAGAAAGGTTCTGGGTCAGCATCCAGGCACGATTTGTGTCTTGGCTTGGGGTCTTTTGGCATTTTGCTCTTGGCATTTTACTGTGGAAACTTGGAGTGTTGAAGGATCTTGGAAGGCTTGAACAAATCTGTGGTGTGGTGTAAAGGGCAGTGATGGTTGGATGTGGCTGGAGGCTGAGGGTGCTGCACTGAGATCAAATGCCACATTTATCTCCTACATTTAGCATCAAAAGCAGATGCTTATAAGGACTGAATGAAAAACTCTTCCCCCCCCTTCACAAGTCAGAGGGGGAAGTTCTGTACAGACACTTTGTCACCTGATGAATTTGTATTTTGAATTGTTTTTTTTCACCCGTATCTTTTTCTGCAATATTTCATCATACAGAAATGGCTTTTCTTTTCGCAAAAATTCAATTACTATACATTGTCTAATGTGCATTACTGTTCCTTGTGCTGTAAAGTCTGTCATGTTATATTCACTCAGCTTTCAGCAATAAGTCATTCCAGCTGCATCTGCAAAATGCATTTTTTTTAATGATGTGGTTACGATACTTCATTTTTCTCCAGTCCTGGTCGCTCTTGACTAAATACCTCGGCTCACATTTAATTAAGAACAACTGAAGCCGCAAGTGCAGAAAAGATGAGCTGCTCTTGTGGAATTGATGGGGTTGAACTTCATTGGAAACGTGAAGCCGAGGTTGGAACTTGATGGTGTAATTAAAAATGCTCTCTGTGACGAGTTTTGTGTACCTGGCACCCAGGAGTGCACCGTGGAGGGGGTGTCCGTGGAGTCACGTGTGTGTCTGTGTCCCAGGTCCGGGCGGTTCCAGCTGCTGGCCGGGGGCTCCCTGGAGATCCGGGACGTGGGCGAGGGGGACGCCGGGACCTTCACCTGCATCGCCGAGAGCGGCAACGACACCGCGGCGGCCCAGGCAGAGCTCACGGTGCAAGGTAGGGCAGAGACCTCGTTGCCAGGGACAGCACTTCTCCTGGAGACTTCCCACAGGAGTCCTCTCCTGGGCTCTGTTACAGACCCTGTTTAACTGGGTAAAACCCCTGATGGGGTTTGGTGCCCCATTAAAAAATAAACAAAACCCAACCCACGATGAGGAACCGCCCTCCAGTCCTGTTGTAGATGTTGGTGTGTTACTCTGATTTGTTATTCAGGCTGCTTTCAATTCCATAAATAGTCACAATATTGTATAACACAACTTGAGCGTGGTTCAAAGCTGCTCTGTATGCTTATATAATACCAAATGTCATGCACTTATTTAAAGGAGGACAAAGGCCACAGCGTGGCTGATCACATCTGGAAGCTGACCTGTAGTACTACAATGTAGGTTGTCTTTGGAAAGGACATATATAATGTATTTTTGACAATCCTTAAATATACTGTTGTTTTCAAGGAGCTTGACAGAAGATAAAAGCTGAGATATTTAGTAATGTGCTGGTATATTGTGTGTATAACTGTTCTGCTTACTTTTGCAAGTTGTTCTTACCAGAAACAGCACTGAAATATTGATAATGCTGTCTTTAAAACATCTTACTTTTAAAAAAAAATAAAATAAAGCAGACTTGGTAAGCAAAGAAAGTAGACTTGGTAAGGGATGGGGAAAAATACAGATGGAAGTTTGCCTTCTTGACCTTTCTTACATTCTGTGAGGAAATTATTTGTATTAACTGGATTTTAATAAGGGTTTAAAATTCTTCAGGTGGAGTTTCATGGCATGTTCATGTGTGCAGGGTCCTTGTAAGAGCTTAACTGACTTGTTTTACCAGGACTGTGGTGCTACAGCGTTGCTCTGAGGGGATAAATTGAATCACTGGACAACCATGAATAAAGGCTTACATATAGATAAAACCTCTGGGACCAAAAAGAAAGCCAACAAATTCTGGTCATGCAGAAAAACCCCCCACGTTTTCTTACCTTATATCTTGGCCAAAAAAATAAGGATTTGGTGCTCTTAGAAGTACTCACATGTTTGAGGCTTAAGAGCACTTGCTGATGGTTTCACACCCCACCATGGGCTGGGTTTAATTCAGTTCCAGCCTCTGTATTTTACAGAATTGGCTTTGTGTTTTATGGGCAGTGGCAGCAATTAATAACATTAATGATACGATGCAATTAAGCAAGTCATGGATAAGAGTGAGATTATAGCCTCAGTGTAGGACATCCAGACAGGTCACTGGGGGATGAAAGTGAGCTGGAGAGAGCTCTTTTGCTCCTTATCTGAGCTAATGTAAAGGATTTCCTCAGTTGGTTGTAAAGATTGAGAATATGTTCTGCCAGTTCTTCTGTGCTGAGTTTTTGTTCCATACCTGGCACTAGAAAGAAAATCCTTTAATGCTTGAGTGTTATAATATATTAAAGATGCTACAGAATGCATTTTAGATAGTGGCATTTCTGATTTTACTTCTCAGTTCTAATCTTAATTCTCCTTTCCTTTGAGAGGTCACTGTGGGGAGTAATTGTATTTCTGCATTACTGTACTTTGGTGAAGGGTTGAATGGCTTGAGTAACTGTTATCTGATCACTGTATCATTTCCTTCTGGACTAGAGAAATTGTCATCTCTTATACCTAATAACAGCATGATTTTGCTTAATTTAAGCTCCTTCTGCCATTCTTGGAAATTAGTCTGGCAGAATTTCAGACAAGAAATCCATTTTTTGGGTACTAATTCCCTTGTCTCTCCTATTTTTCTGCCTCTCTCCTTGAAGCCCCTGGGTTTTTTTGTTGGGAGATTTCAGCAGCACATTTGGGGCTGTGCCAAGGCAGCCAATCCATTCTCCCTTCTGTGTGAGCATTTCAGTGGGATCTGTGCTGAGGGCTGGGGAAGGTGCCATTGCTTGGCAGCGTTGGGGCAGTGAAAGTGAAAAGAAGGTCCTGGGGTGTCTCTTCCCTGAGATTTCCCAGCAGTTCCAGGGACAGATTGACTGAATTTTCCAGCCTGAAACAACTTGCTTTATGCAATTGTAAGGTTAAATTGTGCCAGAGTAAAAGGAATGCTCATTAAAGGTTACTGTGCTCCAAGAGCAGCTTTTCTCTGTCCTTTAGCAAGGATGTAAAACCCTGGAAGGCAACACATGTCTCTGGTGTGGTCCCAACAAGCTGCCTTGGGCTGGTTGCTGGAATACTCGTTCTTCCATGGCAGTGAGGATGGAATTCCTGACCGTCCCTAAAGGGTGGGGTACCCTCAGGGGTCTCACATGAGGCCTGTGCTGTGCTCAGCTGGCAGGAAATACCTGTGTTTTACTGTGGTCCATGGGAGATGGCTGCAGAAAGCTTATTGCCAGCTGCATCCAGGTGTGTAAAGTCATCACCCTGGGAGTTCATGGGGTTTTTCTGTTAAATTTGGCACCATTTTCAATCTGGATAAATGGTACCTTGAACTAATGCAGTTAGATCCTGTTGGTGTCACTTAAAGACGCCATGTATTTCACACTGTCATCTCTTGAACCCCTGGGTCATAAATGAAAGGTGTGAGAGGAGCCCTCTATTGCCCTAATGTTGGGTTTTAAAAATTTGATTTGATTTAATTTCTCTACACACAGCAACAGAAGGACTGAATCAGAAAAATGACTTTAACTAGGAAGGAGTACTGGACTAGAAAAGTACTAAAGGGTCCAGGAGAGGACTGCACCAATTTGTGTCCTCAGTCTCTTTATCTACCCTGTGGAGCTGGGAGGTGGAGTTAAGAGAATTCCGTTCACTTTGGAGGGAAGTTTTGGCTGCCCCATCCCTGGAAGTGTTCAAGGCCAGGTTGGAGCAACCTGGTCTAGTGGAAGATGTCCCTGCCTGTGGCAGGGGATGGGACAAGATGGGCTTTAAGGTCCCTCCAAGCCAAACCATTGTAGGATTCAGTGATTGGAGGTTTCATGGACCCGTTGGTTACATACCCAGTCTTTGACTGTGCATTTGAGGAGTGGTTTGATATGGAAGAGAACATGGGACATTGTGGGGGAAGACCTGGAGCTGAGAGAGTCTCCCCCTAAAGCTGAACATTGCTGGATCCCACATTTGAGACAGTCTGTAGGGCCAAATCTCAAACAATAAACTCTGTGTGCACTTTTGTACCTGCTCACTTTTCCTTGGGTGCCAAAAGCCAGTGTCATCCCCGTCCCAGGCCAGGCCAGGGCAGCACTCCTCCCGTGGGGGAGGCAGGAATTTGGTGTCTGCAGTGACATCTCTCCTGGCTGTTGACAGAGCTCTTCCCTCGCCGCCCCTGCTGGGGACCAGGTTTGTTTACAACACGTGCCATGAGTTGAGAGCACTGGGAAAATGTGTTTTGCTGTCCCCAACCATGAAAGAATCCACAGCATTTCCCTTAGATAAGGGTGGACAGTGATGACAGAGGAGCTGGGGAAACAGGTCGTCGCTGTGTTTAATCTGCCCAGCCCGAAAGCGGTGGCGGGGCCGCGCCGGAGCGGCAGTGAAATGTGGGAAGGTTGTGAGTTCACGTTTCATCTGGGAAATATTTCAAATTGATGGCCATGCCCAGTGCCCTGGGGATTGCTGCAAATGCTGGGCTGGAGTCAGGTCACAGCATGGGCTTCCTGCCCCTACCTTGGTGCTGGTGGGGGGGGGATCATGAGTTTTCTCTCCCTCTGTTGAAATATTTACTGCAGTTAATAATGAACCAGAAAATAATAAACCAAAAACATTTCCATTTTCGTTCCCCTTATTAAATTGATATGGCAGGTCTGAAGTCTAGAAAATAAATGAATCCCTGTGTTTGTGGGGGAGGAGGCAGAGCTACTCTTTATTGTTGTTGTCCATGTAATTCCCTTTCAGTGAGTTTTTGGAGTAGCACAAAGTCGGCTTTTGCTGTCTAGGACAGCATTCAGTGTCTGATAGTGTATCTTAAAGGACTCGCTGTGTTAATGTAACTACAATTAAAAACAGAAAAAGAAAACCTTACTTTTGGGTATCTATAGTGGTAAATCAGAGGTTGCATGTGGCAATAGGCTGATCACTGCCTTGTCTGTGCTGCAAGAGCAAATTGTATGGGGAAAAGCAAATGCAGAAGAAGTGCTTTGATAGAATTATCAGGTTTTTGCTTTGAAAAGAAATAATGGAAATATTTTCAGTAGAGCTGAAAAGGCTGTTGCTAATGGCAAAGCCTTATTCTAGCAAAAAAATACCTTAATTGCAGTGTTGGTCATAAAATGAAACCAAAAGAGCTGCAGAAGGAAGAGCCTCAACGTGGAGAATCTTGGAGTTGTTTTCCAGTGTTCTCTGTGGCAGCTGCTTTGGTAAAAGCTGGTGCCATCCTGCTCCAGAAACTGTAGCATTAAATCCTGCAGCAGCAGAGCAATATGTCTGGGTAACTCTTATTTTTGCATAAAGCTTTTGTTATTATTGGAAACAATTCCAGGGAAGAAATTTGAACCATCACCGAAAATTGCCCAAACCTTTCTCATACTTTCTCAATGAGCTTCATCGATTTCTGGCTCTAATTAAGCTCAGAGCTGTATCTTGATAAGAGGCTGCAGCCCAATTAGAGATTCAGGAGATGCTGCTCTAAACCTGAGGCTGCCAAAGGCTCCTACAGGGGACAGAGTGTTGTCCTTGCTGGTTATCCCAGAACTGCTCTGCCTGGGGAAGCTGTTGGAAGAGAAAAGAACACCTTGGCTTTGTATGAGTTATTTCTTACCCTTGAAAATGTAATGAGACTTCTATTAATGATCTTTTTCTGTAGTGATATGAAACAAAAGCAGGCTGGTGTGGGGAAGCTGAACACACTGTCAGTTTGGCCACCACCTTTGCACTTCAGTGTGTTGTCCAAAAAGACTTTCAAACAGCCCTTGCTGCTGCTCTTAAGTGCAGTTTAATGTTTATAGGGTTCTACAGTTTGCTTGTGAAGTCAATTAAATATGTATACAGATAGTTTCTGAGGAATTTCTGCCTCTGTCCCGTTTGTATTCAAGGATGATGTTGCCAGTGAAAACA